GCTGTGCTCACCAGACTGGGCAGGTCGGGCGGCCCTGAAGGAGGGCGGCGCGGCGGCTCGGCGGCTCAGCTGCTGGGCGGCCCGGCGGCTCGGCGGCTCCGCTGCTGGGCGGCTCGGCTGCTGGGCGGCTCGGCTGCTGGGCGGCGCGGCCGCTGGGCGGCTCGGCTGCTGGGCGGCTCGGCTGCTGGGCAGCTCGGCTGCTGGCGGCTCGGCGGCTCGGCTGCTGGGCGGCTCGGCTGCTGGGCGGCTCGGCTGTGCTGCTGCAGGGCGGCACGGTTGGGCAGCAGGTGACGGGGCCGCAGGTAAGGGCGGCGGGGCCGCTGGTAAGGGCGGCGTGGCCGCGGGTAGGGTGGCGGGGTCGCAGATAGGGTGGCGGGGCCGCAGCAGAGGGCGGCGGGGCCGCAGGTAAGGTGGCGGGGCCGCAGGTAAGGTGGCGGGGCCGCAGGTAAGGTGGCGGGGCCACAGCAGAGGGCGGCGGGGCCGCAGGTAAGGGCGGGGCCGCAGGTAAGGTGGCGGGGCCGCAGGTAAGGTGGCGGGGCCGCGAGGAAGGGCGGCGGGGCCGCTAGGTAGGGCGGCGGGGCCGCGCGATGGGGCGGCGGGGCCGCGAGGAAGGGCGGCGGGGCCGCGCGATGGGGCGGCGGGGCCGCGCGATGGGGCGGTGGGGCCGCGCGATGGGGCGGCGGGGCCGCTAGGTAGGGCGGCGGGGCCGCTAGGTAGGGCGGCGGGGCCGCGCGATGGGGCGGCGGGGCCGCGATGGGGCGGCGGGGCCGCTAGGTAGGGCGGCGGGGCCGCGCAATGGGGCGGCGAGGCCGCGAGGTAGGGCGGCGGGGCCGCTAGGATAGAGGCGGCGGGGCCGCTAGGTAGGGCGGCGGGGCCGCTAGGAGAGAGGCGGCGGGGCCGCGAAGACGGGCGGCGGGGCCGCGGAGACGGGTGGCGGGGCCGCAGTGCAGGGCCGCTAGGGCGGCTCGACGAAGTGAGGGCCCGGAGCGCGACTCGGGCTGAGCGCGCTTCGGGCAGAAAAAAAAAAAAAAAATCGATGTGGTGGGCCCTAAGCACAGTTCCCAAGGGGGAACCTGCTCGATACCATGAGAATATTTGAACAAGGATTGATGAACTATGAAATGAAGTGAGTACAAATATGAAACCCTAATTGGTTGTACCCCCTATGGAATACCCCACTATAGCCTACACAACAGCATAAGCTATAATGTTCTGACACAATCATTATTTAAAATCATCATACTAATATACGCATTACAGGATACACAGCCACTAAGTAGGCAAAAATTTACCACACAGACGAGCACACAGCAACATACATATCACAAGAAGTATCGTAAAGTAGTCATTGAAGTAATTCTCATTTTTTCATATTTTGAATGAAAAAATATGAAAAAAAAAATGAACATAACGATTGTAATAGGTTGCTTCGCAACCCAAAAATCAGGTTTAAGTGGTGGATGAATTCATGTGACTGGTGCTGCGCTGGCGCGCGTACACGTTTGCAATCAGCTCAACAGTCAAATCAATTGTGTCAATTCCTGGAGTCCAGGTCCGCAACCTGGCAGTATCGGTCCAATCAAATCTCACCCATCCATTCCCCGCGATACGACTGGGCTGTTGTGCATGACACGGGGACAAGCAATTGCTCGTGACTGGCTGGGGAAGCAGGCGGAAGTTCATGAATGGTGGGAGATGCAGGGCAGAGTTGGTGTGTGGGGGGGGGGGGGGGAAGGGGGTTGATTTGGGAGGGGGGAGGAGGGAGGAGGGGGGATGGAGAGTGGGTGAGGTGATTGATGGCTGTGGCTTGCTGAGTGTGGGAGGGTGGTAGGTTGGTAAGTTGGATTGCGTGCTGCTGAGTTTGAGCTTCGTAGGTTCAAGGGAACAGCCTCTACGCGGGTCGACGGTGGGATGACAGCTCACCTGCCCTGGACTCACGTGTCAGCTGTTCCGCCGTTGTGAGAAATCCCGAACAGTGGAAGATGGACGGAGAACGGACGGACGGATGGTCCGAAGAAGGAACGGACCAGTCGGGTAAGATGGGATTTCCCTACATTTCTGGTACTGTACACGAGTCGTCTCGTTCATTTGGTGACTGGTTTGTACTGTAGGCCTGGTGGGGTGATACAAACAAGGATGGGATGCGATGGCGTAGAAACGTTCGAGGGAGGTGTGCGGATGGTGGAGGTGGGTGGACGGGGTGGTTGGGGGGGAGAGAGTGGGGGAAGGAGAGGTTGGTGGCCCGGTGACAGGGAGATTGGTGGACTGAGGACTTTGGCTGAGCTGGGACTAGGAGCAAGGTGGGTGGGTGATGGGGTTTGGTTGGGGGGGGGGGTCTGGTCTGGCCTGGTTAGGGGGGTTGGATAGAATGACAGGTGCGTGCATAATAAGATCTACGGCGTGCATCATGTGACAACCTGACAGCGCAACAATCCCGTGATTGTACCGTGTGACTGACCAGCACCTGCAGCAACCTCCTGATTCCCCTTCCCACCTCCGGTCTGATTTTCTCCGTGTTATTCGTACTGTATTTGGTGTCTCTCTCACCTCACCCTTACCTCAACCTTGTTTCTAGTCTCTTTCCCCAGCCCAAGTTTGCTTATAAGCTTCTATTCCGTCCCACAGATTTCCCAAGACGCCTTACACGTCGTAACGCCCCACTAAATTACCTCTCCGTCGACCTCCAGTAATTGAGCTTTCTGAGACATTTCGCCGATTCCGTAGCTTATTTCCGTGCTTATCCAGTGCTTCGACCTTTAAGCTCCAATTATTGAAGCATTTTAAGCTCGCTTCTCACTCGACAACACTCTTTACAATGGCTCAAAACGGTTGGGACCAAGGCTCGGCGGGCTGCCAGCAGTCGGACCGCACCACGATGTGCGCGAACAACTGCGGGTTCTTCGGTAGCTCCTCGACTCTCAACATGTGCTCCAAGTGCTACACCGAGCACGTCGCGAAAACCATGCAGTCCGCTGCCACCGCATCAGCATCTTCGTCCTCTCCTCGCTCCTCCTCTCCACGCGCGCTTTCGCATTCCACTTCTTTATCCTCGTCGACACCCCTCTCTTCCTCCTCCTCGCCTGTCCAATCGCAGACTGCTCAGCCTATCTCGCAGATTCTCTCCACGGGTTGCGCTCCATCCGATCTCCGCGTGTCGTCTCGTGTCGTCTCCCCCTCGCTCGCCCAGCCGTTAGATCGGCAGCTTCCGGAGAGCCGGGACTTCATCCAGGAACCGACATCCAGACCGCACGTCACCGGCTCCTCGTCTTTCTCCGTTTCTGGTGCCGTTCCATCGGGTTCCGCCGACAAGTTGGCTGCCAGCTCATCAGCCGCAGCCGCTGCAGCATCTTGCAAGAAAGAGGATGTGGAGAGTCCTGCGGTTCCTTCTCTGCCGGCACCATTAACTGCCGGACCGGCTCGGACGGTGAATCGCTGTGGCGAGTGCCGTCGTCGCGTGGGACTGACAGGCTTTAAGTGCCGCTGTGAAGGGCTGTTCTGCTCGTTGCACCGTTATTCCGACAGGCACTCGTGTACGTTCGATTACAAGACGGCTGGCCGCGAGGCTATCGCGCAGGCCAATCCGGTCGTCAAGGCGGATAAGGTGACGCGGTTTTGAGACCTGGTTTATTTTCTTCTGTTCGTTTACCGCCACCGCGGATCTGAATTTCGGCCGTCGTTCAGAACTTTGGCTGTAGTGCGCTGCGCGCCGAGTCTCTTGGCTTCGGGAGTGTGAGGCTGGCTGCCGTCGGCTGCGAGTGGGAAGTCTTCGGAAGCCGTGATGCGGGACACCTGGGTTGGGCTAGTTGCTTAGTGGGGCTCTGCTGCTGAGGGGTGAGATTGGAGGAGGAAAGAAGAGGCTTCGTGGTCAATTGTGATCATGGCCTGGTTGAGCGTCTTCGCCTTATCCACTCCAATTTCCCCTCGTCTACCTTCCTTGCATCTGCCGTCCTAGTCTATTTCCCCGTGTTCCCTCCTGTTCTCCTCAACTCTAACCTGGGATGGTACGGTACTAAATGCTTGAGTTCTTGTTCATAATTCTCATGACTTATGCTTGATATTTTAAAATTCCTTACCAAATCCAGCCTGGGATTCTGAACATGCCTGCTTCTGATATCAAAAGGAAGGAATGGAGGGACTAGACTACGCCAGAAACCGTGCTGATCAAGATCCTCCCAAGATTTGAACTCTAAGAACTATCAGACAGGCCTTTCGGGCTAGTGGCTAGTCTGATCCATCATGTTTCTAGTGTATACATTTCTCGTGTGTACTGTGTAGACTGTAGGCTAGGCTGGGCTACATTATAGAGAGTATGGGATGTAACATATATGGTACCTCCGTGTATGCCCTCGTGAGAATATAAGGTTTAGTTTTCGCCTCACCACCTCGTTAGCGGCCCTCGTGCCCTCACACCCCCCTCTAGTGTTAAAGCCCGAGTACAGCATGGTAATTTTCAAGTTCAAGATTCTTGAACTTGAAGTCGCCAATAACAGGGTTACCCTACTTGTTTTGAGAAAATTCTCGCGACCCCAGGCAATCGTCCTGCGACAACGGAACCCGAGTGCCCAAAACCAGAACTGACGCGATGATCGCCAACCATTTGTACTATTCACCACTCACATACCTTGCTTACCAAGTAGTACTCATAGGCTAGGAGGCTCCAAGGCAAAAACTAGCGCTAGTTGGCAAAAGCAAGTCGTTGATAGGTGTTTTTTTTTGTGCGGAAGGAAATATAAGTCCACCTCAACCATCTTAGTCAGTGCACGCTCTAATCTCTCCCTCACGTCACCGGTCTCATGTTACAACCCGTACACCCACGGCACTTACGTTAGTAAACGAGATTCGCGTTACTCGAGTCTTGCATTCAAGCTCGCGTCGCACACGCAGGATCTTGTCACACTTGCTGCCATTCAGCCTCGTGTCACGATCGTACCGTTTTAGGCACGGGTCGCTCACGCGAATGCCGTACTGGTTCGCGTAACGCACCCAGCCGTTAGTCGCACATGTTCCTCCTCGTCGGCCGCTCTTGCCCACGTCAGACCGCTTTCCTCGTCGCCCGCGCTTTCCCTCATTACCCTCCCCGACCCTCTGGTCGCATATGTTCCCGTAGTTGCCCACGCTCTCCCACGTTAACCACACATCCCCTCGTCGCAATTGCTAGTAGTAAACATACCGCGCTTCAGATCGTCACCCGCGCTCCCCTCACCACCCTCGTCGACCCACACCGATCCTCGCCGCCCTCACCTCCCTTGGTCACCGACATTCCCTCTCGTCGCTCGCGCTTCCCCTCATCACCCGTGCCGACCCTCGCCGCCCTCGCCTCCCCTCGTCGCCCGCGCGTCCCGTCGTCGGGCTTGCCTCCCAGTCACTCGCGCTTCCCCTCGTCATCCGCGTTTCCATCCGCTCTTCCCCTCTCCCCATCTCACCATCTCCAGCCCATCCTTCCTCCCTCATTCCTTCCGAAGGGGTGGGACAGATGGGGAGGAACAGATGGGGAGGAACAGATGGGGAGAAACAGAGGTGGTCGCTTCCGCCACCACAATCGAACAGCGTTTTGATTCCCTCTCTGCTCCCCACTATCCTCCCCCCAGCTCTCTCCCCGGCATCTGCCCCCGTTCCCCCCATCCTCTTCCCTGTTTTCCCCGTATCCCCTGCCGTGCTTCCCCCCATCCTATCCCCTCTTACCCCGTATCCCCTGCCCTGCTTCCCCCCATCCCCTTCCCTGCTTCCCCCCATCCCCTTCCCTACTTCCCCCCATCCCCTTCCCTGCTTCCCCTCATCCCCTTCCCTGCTTCCCCTCGTCCCCTCCCCTGCTTTCCCCCATCCCCTTCCCTGCTTCCCTCCATCACCTTCCCTGCTTTCCCCCATCCCCTGCCCTGCTTCCCCCCATCCCCCTCCCTGCTTCCCCCCATCCCCTTCCCTGCTTCCCCCCTTCCCTTTCCCTGCTTCACCCCATCCCCTCCCCTGCTTCCCCCCATCCCGTCCCGTGCTTCCCCCCATCCCCTTCCCTGCTTCCCCCCATCCCCTTCCCTGCTTCACCCCATCCCCTTCCCTGCTTCCCCCCATCCCCTTCCCTGCTTCCCCCCATCCCCTTCCCTGCTTCACCCCATCCCCTTCCCTGCTTCCCCCCATCCCCTCCCCTGCTTCCCCCCATCCCCTTCCCTGCTTCCCCCCTTCCCTTTCCCTGCTTCACCCCATCCCCTCCCCTGCTTCCCCCCATCCCGTCCCGTGCTTCCCCCCATCCCCTTCCCTGCTTCCCCCCATCCCCTTCCCTGCTTCACCCCATCCCCTTCCCTGCTTCCCCCCATCCCCTTCCCTGCTTCCCCCCATCCCCTTCTCTGCTTCACCCCATCCCCTTCCCTGCTTCCCCCCATCCCCTCCCCTGCTTCCCCCCATCCCCTCCCCTGCTTCCCCCCATCCCCCTCCCTGTTTCCCCCCATCCCCTTCCCTTCTTCCCCCCATCCCCTCCCCTGCTTCCCCCCATCCCCTTCCCTCCTTCCCCCCCTGCTGCCTCCCATCACTCTCATTCTCCTTCCTCCCGCACTCACACCTCTCAGTCCACTCGCACTCTCTCTCTCCGTCCTCTCGCACTCTCCTCCCCACCACCCTCAGCCCTCCTTCCCCTCACACCCACCCATGTTCCCACCTGCCCTCCCCATCCCTGCCTTTCCCTCCCTGCCCTGCCCTTCCCTTCTCCATCCCTTCTCAAACCTTCCCTTTCATGTCATGCCCTCACCTTCCCCCTCATCTTCCGCCCTCCAGTTACCATGCATGTGCACCCATCACTGTCTCCCCATGCCGGTACATGCTTTCATCATGTGCGCTTGCTTGTGTTCCCCTGCAGTTGTTCCCTTGGCACCTCACACCACTTCCCCCATGTTCCATCACACAATTCTTTCTGCCTACTCCACTCTCCAAATTTTCAGTGGTGAAGCAGAGGAGCAAGCTGAGGCGCAGCTAGAGCTAGTCCATGCTTTACGCCGTACCACCACCTGTTTCTTGTGTGTTGTATGCAAGCATGATACTGTATTACTGTTGGAGATATCCATTTCAAAAGCGCAATATGTTTCTGCAGTGCAATATATTCTTCCAAGATGCATGGGCAAGAGTGTTAGAAGGGTAGATAGAGGCATGATTCTACTTTTGATTGTACCCTTCTCAAGGACTTGAAAAAAACATGAGGGATGGGATGATGGGCTTCGGCGAGTTGCAGTGCCAGAAAATCTTCATTGGTGTCACTTCACTACCCAGGGAGAGGGAGGGAATACGAGGGATGGGGAGGGGGAACAAGACTAAAGTCAAACAGGGGAGATAGGGAAGAGGGGGGAGAGGAAAGCAGGGCTGAGAGGGAAAGACATAAGTACCGTAAAAAAAGGGAGGATAGGGAAGAGGGGAGATAGGAAGAGGGGGAGAGGGAAAGTGTGAGATAGGAAGATGAAACGAGGTGAATAAGAGGGGGAAACGAGGGGAATCAGGGGGGGAAACGAGGGACAGCAAGGGGGGAAACGAGGGGAAGCAGGGGGGGAAACAAGGGAAAGCAAGGGGGGAAACGAGGGGAAGCAGGGGGGGAAACCAGGGAAAGCAAGGGCGGGAAATGAGGGGCCAGCAGTGGGGAAAATGAGGGGAAGCGGGGGGGGTGGGGGGAGGGAAATGAGGGGAAGCTGGGGGGAAAATAAGGGAAGCAGGAGGGTACAAACAGAGATAGCAGGGAGGGAAATGAGGTGAAGCAGGGAGGGAAATGAGGTGAAGCAGTGAGGGAAATGAGGTGAAGCAGGGAGGGAAATGAGGTGAAGCAGTGAGGGAAATGAGGTGAATCAGTGAGGGAAATGATGTGAAGCAGTGAGGGAGGTGAGGTGAAGCAGTGAGGGAAATGAGGTGAAGCAGGGAGGGAAATGAGGTGAAGCAGTGAGGGAAATGAGGTGAAGCAGGGAGGGAAATGAGGTGAAGCAGGGAGGGAAATGAGGTGAAGCAGTGAGGGAAATGAGGTGAAGCAGGGAGGGAAATGAGGTGAAGCAGTGAGGGAAATGAGGTGAATCAGTGAGGGAAATGATGTGAAGCAGTGAGGGAGGTGAGGTGAAGCAGTGAGGGAAATGAGGTGAAGCAGGGAGGGAAATGAGGTGAAGCAGTGAGGGAAATGAGGTGAAGCAGGGAGGGAAATGAGGTGAAGCAGGGAGGGAAATGAGGTGAAGCAGTGAGGGAAATGAGGTGAAGCAGGGAGGGAAATGAGGTGAAGCAGTGAGGGAAATGAGGTGAAGCAGGGAGGGAAATGAGGTGAAGCAGTGAGGGAAATGAGGTGAAGCAGGGAGGGAAATGAGGTGAAGCAGTGAGGGAAATGAGGTGAAGCAGGGAGGGGAATGCGGTGAAGTAGGGATGAGGGGGAGAAAGGGTGGGCCATGGGCGTAGAGCATAGGGCGCAGAGCATGGGGCGCAGAGCATAGGGCGCAGAGCATGGGGAACAGAGCATAGGGCGCAGAGCATGGGGCGCAGAGCATAGGGCGCAGAGCATGGGGCGCAGAGCATAGGGCGCAGAGCATGGGGCGCAGAGCATAGGGCGCAGAGCATGGGGTGCAGAGCATAGGGCGCAGAGCATTGGGCGCAGAGCATAGGGCGCAGAGCATGGGGCGCAGTGCATAGGGCGCCGAGCATAGGGCGCAGTGCATAGGGCGCAGAGAATAGGGCGCAGAGCGCAGGGCTCATAGAGCAGAGCGCAGGGGGCAGAACGCAGGGGGCGGAGGGGGCAGAGCGCAGAGTGCAGGGGCGCGGAGCACGTGTACCTGTCCTGGCGTGGTGGTGCCTCGTTCTAGCGCCCTCTCCACGCTGCTATTCGAATAGAATAGTGCGCGCGCTGGACGTTTGTGAGTTGACGCGCTGCTAGACGACCAGTGGTGCGAGCTGCGCGTAAACCGGTGAGGGGGATGGTCGTCTCTGTATTTCGCGCGCTGCTACCCGCCCGTGGGCGCCCGGTGGCTGACAGAGTAGAATTGCGTAACCCTAAGGGTATGCGTATTGTGGACGCCCCCAGCGTGGCATTGCCCTAAGTAATAGGCACTTTCGAGCCCAATATACGTTCGCTATGCCCCGAAACCGTCGACCTACGTGCTGCCAGAGGCAATCGATGTGCCAGAGGCAATCGATGTGCCAGAGGCCATATCGCGCTGTGTCGCGCTCTTCTCAACGCTCCTTCCTGCGACTCAGCATGTACGTTTTCTGGCATGTCACCTTCCTTTGCACGTTTCCTTGTTGTTAGCTCCTGCGGTTATTTCACACGAAGTAGTTAGCTTGATTGATCGTGGTGTTCTTTCTCCTCACTCGTGTTGGTGCCCGTTTTCGTTTTTGCTAGTAGTCGCATTGTGCGTGGACCTTCTCCACTACTTGAACCTGATTGGCTGAAGAACAATCCTTGCGACACTCCTTCCAGTCGCTCCACAGTGCTTGCAAATCCGTCAAAGCTGCACAGTGTCGTTCACCATCGCTTCACGTTTGGCGAGACTACTTTCCCCCTCGTCAATCGATATTTTTCTCGCTACACTGACTTTGCCGAAATTCTTGTTTTCAAGGTTTCGCCAACACTATTTCAAACCCACATAACTTGATAAATTACCATGCTGACTCCGGGCTTTAAGAATGAAAGTGTTGTGTTATTGATGAGGATTGAGGGTATATATAGCAAACCCTAACATTTGTACCCCCTAAGACAAACCTCATTACAGGCTACAACATTTGACCCACCCCCATAGCCTAAGTGAGGGGTGTCAAGCAAAACCAAAAGTGTACGGTCATAAGACCAGTCACAAAGAAACAAAGCTCAGGGTGGATCACAACGTCACCACACAATCTGAGCACAAGAAACAGGGGCCACAAGGCCAGATCAAGAGTTCACAAAGGTGTATGGCAAGTGTACAAGCAAAACAAACGGTAAATTCAAGCCTACACACGACTAGAACATGTGTCAACAAGACCTAACTGCACACAACACATCTGGTGGTCACAAGGCGGAAGCGCCTTGGTGAAGATGTCTGCAGTGTTGGCCTCGGACTCCACAAACTCGAAGCGAGCCTGTCCACGTTTCTGCAACTCACGCAGAAGAAAGTACTCGAGGGAAGGCGAGGTCCGGGCAAGTACAAGTCATCAGGTACATGAGGCAGCCCACCAGCTCTGAGTAGGGACCGCTAGACTCAAACGGCTCGTCAGGAAAGGGTCCAGTAAGTCTGTGGTCAACAGCAAGAGGTGTGCGCTGTACTGTGGAGTGCTGAAGCTCGAACCGCTGAAGAACCTGCTGCACCATGTGTGACTGTGAGAGTGTAATGGTGCGAGCAGCTGTGTCTCTAGTGATCTGCAGGCCAAGGTAGTGGCGCAACTCACCAAGGTCAGTGCACGTGTGTCTCTTCTGCAGTTCGGACTTCACGTCTGCCAAGGCAACCCTGTCAGCAGTGGCGAAAACCAGGTCGTCGACGTAGACCAGAACAAAGAAAGGTGTGGAGCCACGATGGACGAACAGCGACGGGTCGGCACAAGACGACCGAAAACCAAGGTCAGAGAGGGTAGAACGAAGGGTGTCGTGCCACTCACGAGGAGCCTGACGGAGACCGTAGACAGGTCGCCTCAGCCTCCACTGGGTTTCAGGAGGGAAAGTGCCAGTGAAGGCAGAGGGACGACGCAGCCAGACCTCCTCGTGAAGGCTACCCTGAAAGAAAGCAGTGGAGAATTCGAGAGAGAGTGTAACTTGTAGTCTCTCTGTGCTGCTACGTGTAGTAACACCTGAAGAGTGGTCATCTTCGGGGTAGGCGCGAAGGTCTGAAAGAAGTCAACTCCCTTGCACTGACTAAAACCTCTAGCCATATAGCGCGCCTTGAAGACCGGAGGAGATTCCGGTGGCCGCTTCACCCTGTAGATACACATGCCATCGACTACGTTCACCCCAGGGGGGGAACCTCATCGACGTAGGTGCCTGTGGATCTGTAGGAGGCCATCTCTGAGTCCATGGCAGCTCTCCACTGAGAGGCCCAAGGCCCTGACACTGCCTCAGCGTAAGAGCGAGGAGTCGGTATATCAAGGGTGTTGGGGTCTCCCTCAGGGGAGAGCAGCATGGCACAGAGATGAGGGGAAGCGGCTGCCAGGAACTCTAGCTCAAACTTCTTGTCCTCTAGGGCGTCACAGCCAAGGGCAGACTCACCACCAACGGCCAGAGGACTGGTAGGAGGAGCAGCCACGAGACAAGTGGCGTAGTCAAGGCGGCGAGTAGTGGCGAACTCAGTGATGGCGACAATAAGGGCGGAGACAGAGGACAAAGAGGCACGAGGGTCTGTAACAAGAGAGGCGAGAACACGAGAGAGAACAGGACGGTACGTGCGGTAGTAGTCAGTGACAAGAGTAGAGAGGGAAGCAGTGAAGGCCGAATCAGGAGGAGAAGGAAGCACAGACTGAGACGAACGAGGCGGACTAGGACGGAACAGGGCAGTACGAAGGTCAGTGAGAGCGACAGGGGACAAGGGACGGGCACGAGGAGAGCGACAGGGGATGAGGGACGAGCACGAGGAGAGCGACGAGAGGGTCAGGCGGGCAAAGGAGGGGGAGACAACTGAGTCGGAGAACGAGGGAGAACAGCTGGGGAGGAGCCAGGAGGAGGAAACGTGGGACCGTAGACAGAAGGAGAGGGGGAGGAGGAAGGAGAGGGAGATGGGAGACCGAGGGTCCGAAGGCCAGAGACAGGAGGAGGAGGTGGCTGCGGCTGCTGCTCCTCGTGCGGCTGCGACAGCTGCGACTGCTGCTGCTGCTCCCGCGGCTACTGCTGCTGTTGCTCCTCTAGCCGCTGTTGCTGCCGCTGCTCCACCTCGAGCCGCTGCAACTCTCTCTCCTCTCTCTCTAACTCCAGCTGCTCCTCACGAGCATGGCGAACACGGGCCTGGTGCCGGGTCGGGTAGGGGTGGGGGGGAGGAGTAGTGTCCGGGGCCGCGGCAGCCCCAGGACCACCCTCCAAAGCACCCGGCGCACCACCCCCAGAGGCAGTACCACCAACAACAACACGGCTAGGCTCACAAGGACCCGAAGGGGGCGCACCCGCACCCCCAGACGTAGCACCCCCAGAGTCAGCACCACCTACACCAGCTCCCGGAAGACGAGAGTCTCGTGCAGCCTCAGGCTCAGCCCCAACTCCAGCACCCCCAGAGCTAGCACCGACAGGGTCCTCGCCACGAACACCGGCTCCTGCAGGGTCTGCCGCAGGCTGCGAGGAGGACTGCGGGGAAGGAGGCTGTACCTGAAGGGCTACCGAGGGGGGAGGGGTAGCGTGGGACACACCTGACGGGTCTGGACCAGGGGGGGGGGGGGCTGCACCGGGGGAGCAGGAGGGGGAGCGGAAGTCAGGAAGAGAGGGGGAGGAGGAACCGGGAGACCTCGGCAGGGGTACCTGACGTAGTAGGGGACGGACTCGTCGAAACTGACGTCCCGGGAGTCAAAGAACCGGTGAGAGGGAGGGTGGTAAAAGGTGAAGTCAGAGGAGTCCTCTGGGAAACCAAGGAAGACACAAGGAACGGCGCGAGGCGAGATCTTGTCTGCGGAGGTGTCGCAAACAAGAGCCAAGCAACCCCAGACACGAAACCTCGACGCAACACCAGGGGACCCGGTCCAAAGACTAGTCGGTGAAACCTCTGGCCGAGAGACACGTGGCCAGAGGTTCAGCTAGTGAGCGGCGTACCTAACCGCGTAGGGCCACAGAAAATGGGGGGCACTGGCGTGAGTCAAGGAGGTGCGGGCGATCTCCATGACCAAGCCTATGCGGCGCTCAGCAACCCCATTCTGCTGTGGGGACTCTGGAAGCGTCCAGGACTGACGAATGCCCTGCTCGCGACAGAATCCAGCGAGAATGCCGGAGCGAAACTCAACCCCACGGACGGAGTGAAGACAGCTGACTCGACGACCACGAGTGCCCTCAGTGGTAAGCAACCACCTGATCAGCGTGGAAGTCACCTCAGACTTCTTCGCAAGGGGAAACACTGTGGTGTAGCGGGAGTAGTCGTCAACGACCACCAGAAAGAAATGCTCACGCTCAGGGCCAAGGCGAGAGGCGGGGCCCCAGATGTCCAAGTGGAGCGTCTCAAAAGGCTCGGTGGCCGAACGAAGGGAGGAGGAGTGAGGGGTGGCGCGCAGCCTACCCTTGACGCAGGGACCGCACGGTGGTAACCAGGATACCAGAACCATCTCTTTTGTAGCACTGATCCATTTTAGCATTCACTCAAAGTACTGGTATGTGTTGTTTTTCCACGTGTTGGGTTGGGTGGGTGTTGTCTCGTCGATTGTGTTGGGTGTCGTATGTGACGACCAATTGTTCCATTCGCCGTATTTATCGACGATTATGGGATGATTGGTTACATTTGGTCGCACTTCTTTTGGAGGCTCTTAGGGCGTGTTACATTTTTTTAAGTCGCTGAAAGTCCGGACGGCTGTCCGGACGCGTGCGAAGATTGCGACATCGCACGGTCGCTTTGCGACCAAAGCGATGTCGTAAGGAGGCAATACGAAGAATACGACGTCATTTATGTTGGGCTGAGAAAGCCCTTTGGATCTTTGCAAGGCTAAACTATGGGTAGGACT